CTACAGTCTTCCTTATTCACTGTCCAGCTTTCGCATGCATATGAGGTTATTGAAAATACCATGGCTTGGGTCAGGCATACCTTAGTCTTCAAGCTGACATCTTTGCTCTTCAACACTTTAAAAAGTTCCTGTGCAGCAGATTTGCCTAATGCAACACGTCGTTTCCTTTCTTGACTGCTGCTTCTGTGAGTGCTGATGGTTGATCCAAGAAGAATGAAGTCCTTGACAACTTCAATTTTTCTCCACTGAAAAGAATGTTGTTTATTGGTTCAGTGGTGAGGATTTTTTATTTCTTTACTTGAGATGCAATTCATACCAAAGGCTGAGGTCTTTGACCTACATCAGTAAGTATTTTAAGTCCTCTTCACTTTCAGCAAGCAAAGTTATATCATCTGCATGTCACAATTTGTTAATGAGCCTCCCTCTAATCCTGAGGCCACGTTTTTCTTCATATAACCCAACTTCTCGGATGATTTGCTCAGCATACAGTTTGAATAAGTATGGTGAAAGAATACATCCGTGTCACACACCTTTCCTAATTTTAAACCATTCAGTGTTCTCAAGTTCTTTTCGAACAACTGCTTGAACAAGGTCTTGTCCTCTTCTGAATCCGGCTTGAACCTTTGGAAGTTCTCTGTCAATGTATGGTTGCAGCCCTTTCTGCATTGCCTTTAATAAAACTTTATCACGTGGGATATCAAAGTTATTGTCTGATGATTTCCACATTCTGTTGGGTCACCTGTCTTTGGAATGGGCACAAATATGGATGTCTTCCAATCAATTGGCCAGGTAGCTGTCTTCCAAATTTCTTGGCATAGATGAGTGAGTGCCTCCAGTGCTGTATTACTTTGTTGAAAGATTTCAATTTGTATTCCATCAATTCCTAGTGCCTTGTTCTTTGCCAATTCCTTCAATGCACCTTGGATTTCTTCCTTCAGTTTCATTGACTCTTGATCATATGCTACCTCTTTTTTTTTTTTTTTAATGTTTTATTGTGAATTATGTGATAGTTTGCATGGGAGAACATTAGTTTTACATTCATCCTATCATATGTCATTTCATTGGCATGGTTACAATCCCCTCCATGCATCATCAACCAACCAAAGGGTACATCCCGCATACCTGCCTCCTGGCTGCCAGCACACAGCCCCTCTCCCTCCCTGAGTCCAGAGTTCCCAGCCACTCCTTCTCTCCATCTCTGCCTCTGTCTCTGGTGTCACTGCTTCCCTGGACTGGGTCCTACGCTTCGCTAGTCTCCCTTGATGGTTCCAGGGATCTTTGCTCCTGGACTGCAGAATCAGTCACTCACCTCATTTTGTTGCAAAACATTTACATTTACCTTTCCAACACTCACTGTCAGACCTGCCTTACATCTTCTCTTGATGCTTTCTGTACCATTCAATAATTTGCCCAGAGAATCCTTCAATAATGAAAGTTCAGGCTTGACTTTTTCTTCAGTTCCTCAGCTTGAGAAATGCTGACCGTGTCCTTGCCTTTTGGTTTTCAAATTCCAGATCTTTGCACATTTCATTGTAATATTTGACTTTGTCTTCTCAAACTAACTTTTGAAATTTTCTGTTCAGCTCTTGGACCTCCTCATTTCTTCCATTTGCTTTAGCATCTCTACGTTGGAGAGCAAGTTTCAGTGTCTCTTCTGACAT